ATGTAGTATTGGTGCCTTTGATATGGTAACGTTTTGGAAATCGATGTTTGGGTCTCACGAGACACCACCGTGAGCCCGCTATGCGTTTAAATCATCGTTTGATTTATCCTGATTTTCCGTATATTCACTGTTTTCATTAACATTTACCGCGTGGATTTGAGCTTGATTATTTTGATAACGCCTTGGAGATAGTCCGCGATTACTTTGGTTTCTAAAGCGGTTATTATTAAATTCACGTTTCCTACATTCCTCAATAGTGTGGCCCACGTTTTTACAGTAACGGCACACGGGAGGCCCTGAAGTAGACGGCCTTTGACTGTTAGCATTATTTGAATAGCCTCGCTGTGTTGGATTTCGAACTTGCTGGGATTGACGTTGAAGCCAACGTCCTTGACTAGGTGAACCGCTGTGAATTGCCGAAGGATTACGTTTAAAAGAGGTTTGCAATATTTTTTCTTCAGATACAGCGAAGCCAATGGCCTCATTTAGAGTTTCAGGATCACGGCATCTGACTACCGTTGACAATCGAGGATTTAAGCCACTTACAAATGTATGCAGTGCTAGGTCTTGCATTGCAGCGACACGGCCAGTCAGTTCACCTTTCTTTGTCGTTGGTATGGAGATGTTAATTTCTGTTAATAGTTTTGATAAGCAAGTTTCTACTCGTAGTGCGAACTGATTGACTGTTTCACCATTAATTTGGCAACAATCTTGGAGATCTGAGAGTAGTGCAGCATAGTGTTTTTTTTTTCGCCAAATTGATTTTTGAGAAACTCTTCTAACTGTTGCCAGTTCTCGAACTCTTTGATGGAGCACGCACTTTCAGCACGGCCTTCGAATTGGCTTAGAATAAATTTTAATATTATGTCTTGTTGAGACGGTGACGCAAGACTTATTGCATTTCTGCAATTGTTTAAAAATGCATTCAATCTTTCGCCATTTCCATCCAATTTATTAATAAATTTGCTTAAAAAGTTCATGTCGATTTCTTTTACTTCCTTAGACATGGCAATAGGCGCGTCTTTGCTTACAACACGGATAGCTTCGATGTAGGATTAATTAATGTACTTACAGGAATACTGCAATTACGACGGCAACACAAAACATTTCGTAGCCAGGCGAGATCACCCAAGGTGAGTGATAGGTCTTCGGTGTATGCCCAACAAGGCACGTGAGGGTCTGGTAAGATCAGCAGGATACAGCGGTGTTTGAACAGGGATGCAGGATACAGCGACACGGAGATGAGATTGGAACTTTGTACTTTTCACTGACACAATCACACGTAGAAATAGAATTTATTTAATTTAATTTTCACAGAAATGAGGCGTTCCGAGGATTTACTTATTTCTTAAAAAATCCCACCGCTGCCACCAATGTTATACGGGACCTCGTAATTTAGATGATGTCATGACTAATTAGTGGAAATCTATATAATCAATAATTATCCAAGACTAAGGGTTTTCCCTAGCATTGGGGAATCGTAACAGAACGTTCCATTTCACGCGCGCCTATAGTGTGCTTAAATATTCGAGTGACCATCGGTCCCAGAATGACTACACTAGGTTGTCTAACAGCTGATAGCGCTCTATCAAATGTTTCGCTTGGTCTTCTACCGGGGCGGCGGGTAAATACTTAAGTGATGTTAAGGTCAAAAAATGAGAGGGAGTTATAGCTAGCGGCTTACTTGGATCTTGGCTTAACTTTATACAAAGCGGACGCGAGTTGACTACATTTTCAATTTGACATAAAACCGTGTTCATTTCTTCGTAAGTTAGTATTTGCGAGGCAATAGATCTGTAAAGATGCGATTTCATGGATTTAATTAATGGTTCCCATGATCCAAAGTGAGGTGCACTAGGCGGTGTGTTTTTCCATTCTATTTTATACTCATTAAGCTGATGCACTAAAGCAGAGCGATATTGCGTTGACGTTATGAATTTAAAAGGCTCTTCAATGTATGATTTTGCACCCCGGAAATTACTGGCGTTATCAGAATGCATCACCGACACAGGTCCTCGACGCGATATAAATCGTTTGAAGGCAGACATGAACGCAGGAGTACTCAAGTCGGTGGTGAGCTGAATGTGAATAGCGCGAGTTGTCAAACACACAAATAGGCATATATACGCTTTATGGCTACGAACGCCACGGCCACGTTTCGGAGTAATGAACAGCGGCCTTCCGTAATCGTAACCCGTTTGAACAAACGCTTTAGGTACAACTTGAGTTCGTACCGGGGGCAGATCTCCCATAAGTGGACAAATAGATTTGGGTGATGTGCGAAAACAATGATTGCATTTATCTATTACCGAACGGATCGTTCGTCTAGCGGTAATAATCCAATACCTCGGTCGTAATAAACTACCTAATAAATTAGGACCAGTATGGCAATGCATGCGATGATAATGATCTAAAATGAGGTTCACTACATGATCTTTCCTAGGTAACAAGATAGGATGCCGATTGTCGAAGGTTAAGTTAGCGTTACTTAATCTTCCTCCAACGCGGATAAGTCCGTTGTGAAGAAACGGATGTAATTTCTGTACGTGTTTCTGGCATTTATTTCCCGATTTTAATTGCTAAAATTCTTCGCGGAAATGGATTATTTGCACAGCGGTAAGAAGTTTACTTTCCGCAAACTCTAAATCGGAGACGGAAATAAAATTACTGCGCGGTAAATATTTAAGAAATCTATAAAATATACACAATAGTGTTCAAAAGTTTGGTCCATTTAGACTGTCGAGAAACGATATGACACAATAATGGGATATCTTCGGTGGTTGTGGTGAGAGAAATCGATTTCAGTTCTGGAACGTCGTAAGAAGGTTTCAGATTAAAACATGATATGGGCCAATCAGTCTCTTTTCTTTGTGTCCAGCCAGGACCGCCCATCCATAGTGGATGAACTATGAGTTGTGAAGGTAATAAACCGCGGGATAAATAGTCGCTGGGGTTGTCACACCCAGGAATGTGATAAAAATATTTCACGGGTATGAGATGTTGAATTTTGGAAACCCTGTTAGCGACAAAAACCTGCAGTCGATGTGGAGATGTGTTAATCCAGTGTAGTGCTACGGTGGAGTCAGAGAATGCATAAATGCGGTAAATGTTACAACGCGATGAATAGCTATCTGACACAGCGCGTAGTAGCTTTGCAAGTAGTAAGGCAGCCATAAGTTCGAGTCTTGGCGTCGTAATAACTCGATTGCTAGGCGAGACTTTCGATTTTGCGCACACCAAGGTAGTCGTTCGCTTGCCGTGGTTGTTCGCATGTAAATATACAGCGGCTCCATATGCACGTTCGCTTGCGTCACAAAAACCTAAAAGGGTGATACTGGTATTCTCGACCACCTTCATATGCCGCAGTATTTTTAAATCAGCGATAAGCGGTAACTCTGACTGAAACTGAGTCCATGCACTAACAAGATAGTCGGGAGGGGTATCAACCCAATCTAACTTCATTAAGCAAACTTCCTTGATAAGGAGTTTGGCTTATGTAATAACCGGACCTACTAGCCCAAGTATATCCCACAAGCGAGCCACTGTTGATAGCATATTGCGTTTCGTGCAAGTGCAGTCGGATGGTAAAATAGTAAACAAAAATTTATCACACGTTGGTAACCATTGCATGCCAAGAATTTTAAGTGACTCATTCTTTGTAAGGTCAATTGGTAGAGCTAACCGATGCGATTCGGGAACATTTTCTAGTAACTCATGGGAGTTACTGGACCATTTTACCAATTCGAAGCCACCCGATGCAAACAATTTGATGAGCTGTTGTAATGTGTCTAGCGCAACATCTTTAATGGGAAAAGAGCAGGCTATATCGTCAACGTACAGTTGGGTAGTAGCGAGTTACGCAGCGAGGGGAAAATTAGTTTTCTCGCGTTTAGCTAATTCATGAATGGTTCGGATGGCTATGAAGGGACTGGATCGTAAACCAAAGCATACGCGTAGGAAAGCGAAATATCTTAGCGGTTCTCTATTATCAAAGCGGTATATTATTTGTTGATAAGGTCGATCTTCCTCACGAACTACAATCTGTAAATACATTTGACGTATATCAGCAATTGCGGCGATTTCGAAAAGGCGAAAGTTTAATAAGATTTGAAATAAATTACACTGTAGCGGCGGTCCGACGTGTAAAATATCATTTAACGATACTCCAGAGTCGGTGTGAGTGCTTGCATCAAGGACAATGCGCAGTTGGAAGTAAGCTTATCCTCGCGGATCACCCCATGGTGCGGTATAATGTAACCCTTGCTATAATTTTGCGGTTCCAGAATTTCTTTAAGATAACCTTTAGATAGGTACTCACGGATGATTTCATCATATTGCGATTTAAATGCTGGATTTTTATGAAATTTGCGTTCTAAATGAAGGAAACGTTTACGAGCCGTTTGTAACGAATCTCCTAAGAGAATAGTTTCATCCTTGAAAGGTAAACCTACAACAAAGCGCCCAGTCTCCTCACGTTGAGTAGTGACAGAATAAAACTCCTCGCAATATCTGTCTTGTTCGGAGAGAATCGGGGCATCGTTGAGGTCCTCTATTTCAAAAAACTTGCTTAACTGGTCATGAATTGAACGCGGGGAGGAAACGCTGATAAGTAGGTATGTCCACGTCTCGGACAGACATTTCAAATGCCTTCGAAGTGTCACGATCTCAGCGCTTGAGCGCAAAATGAACAAACACATAATCACAAAGATTTGGTATATTTAATTCTTTAAGAGCGGCGATTGATGCGGCGTATTTATCAACAAATGCTTCCAATAGAGTTGAAGTTGCGGGATTAGGTAAAGGTTTCATCTCTAATATTGAGTCGAGAAAAGTGCTCGCGAGGTAACGCTTGTCCTGATATTTTTTTATTAATGCATCCCATATAGTATCGTAATTATCAGCGGTGGGGTTAATAGCCGAAAAAACATGTTGCGCTTTGCCTTTAAGTTTGCTAACTAGATAATAGATTTTTTCCGAGTTCGTTAACTCAGTATTAGAATTTATCGTCGAATGAAATGTTTCATAAAACAGGCTCCATTTGGAAGGGTCTTAGGTAACGCGATTTTAGGCTTGGTGGCATTCACCGTTTGCGGTTTGCATAATTTGTTCTTAATACGTCTAACATGGAAGTACAAGTCTTCAAAGCTACACCAGGAGTTGAATTCAGGAGTAAATTCAGGATCTAGTTCTATATTTATAGAATTAATGTCATGGATGCACTTGTGATATTCACTCCTGATATCATCGATGGTTTCGCACTGTGATATAAACATATCCTGAATAACGGCATCGTTTATTGTTTTTGAAAGATCGAAAATACGTTGCATGCGAGTAAAATAACCATCACGGCATGTTTCCTTAATAACTAATTCTTTAGTCAGAGTTTTGCGAGTGGCTGCCATATTTTCGAACTAATGAAAATAGAGTGCAAATTAATGATGTAAAATTACAAAACATACAACTTACTTTGCATTTCTCATCTTCGTCTTGCATTAACGATAAAGCAAAACATAATACTTTGGACTCTCTTTCAAAAGCTCCCACTCCGGACACCTCTGCTTTTAATTTTAGCCAATTTAAAAGTTGTGATGTTAAGAGAGCCATCCATTCAAATTCGATCGGTAGTGACTGCATTAGTCGGAAAATGGTCATCCCTCTCATTGATCTCCTTATACCTATAATCACGTCTATCCTGAATAATTCACTGAATTCTGCTCTTTTTCCTTCAGCTTGGAAAGACGCATTTGTAGTTCCTCTTCCGAAAAAGTCAAATCCCTCTAATTTTTCTGATTATAGACCTATCTCTATTTTGCCTTTCTTTTCCAAAGTTCTAGAACGTCTTGTGCACAATCAATTAAGCACCTATCTTTTAAAACACAATCTTTTAAATCCCTTGCAATCCGGTTTCCGTCCTGGCCATAGTACAACTACTGCACTTTTACGAATTACTGATGATAGAGAAAATGATGAAGAAACAAAAGCTTACCATTCTCACGGTGCTTGATTTTAGTAACGCATTTAATACTGTAGATTTTGATATCTTGTTAAGCATCCTACGCTCTCTTAACATATCTCCAACTGTAGTTGACTGGTTTCGAAGTTACTTGTTTGGTCGCCGACAGCGAATTCAGGTGCAAGAGGTTTTTTCCACCTGGACTACTACAGCTGCTGGTGTACCACAAGGTGGCGTGTTGTTTCCTCTCCTTTTTGCAATTTTCATTAACTCTATAAGTCATAATTTGTGCTCTTCCTACCACTTGTATGCTGATGATCTCCAAATCTATACTCAGTCCTCTCTTGAAGATCTATCTAAATCAGTTGACACTATTAACGCTGATCTGAATTGTATTTCGAATTGGAGTAAATGTTATGGTTTAACGATTAATCCTAAGAAAACTCAGGTCATTGTCATCGGTAGTTCTAGATTAATTGGTAAAATTGACTGGTCTTCCCTACCCCTATTATACTTGACTGCACTGTATTCCCTTACAGTAACAAGGTTAACCCACTCAATGCCACCAGACTTTTTTTTTCTTTTCTTTATGATCCACTTTGTTTTTTTCTGTTAATGGGTTTGAAATAAACATTACTGTCTATATAAATAGACAAATAATAAAAAAAATCAAAATACAGAAAAAAAACCGTAAACTCTTGCGTTGGTACAATGGATGATGTTATGCGATCACATGCGTAACTAGCAAAATAATAATGACTGAAAATCTACAATGAAAAAGTCTTTATGAAAAAGAAAGTACTTAAATAAAAGTCCTAATTAGAAAATGTTTATTAATTAATAATTGTGATACAATTTAAAGCAGTTGGTAATGCAATGACCAGGCTGCTCATCACAATCGGGACAGTAATAAGGGGTGTCTTTACGTTTTTTTTTTCTGTTTCCCAACATACTTTACATCTCCGGCGCATTGACTTTCCCTTCCGAGGACAAGGTTGTAATACATGGACTTTAGAAAAAGTGCGAGAATTTGTAATATTGACATCAGGAATTAAACTCTCGATCACTGACAATCGAAAATCATATAAAGAATTCTTAGTACCTGATAATAGGTTGTATATGGTGAAAGAATTATACAGCATTTGTTGTAGAATATGAATTCTCAACTTTTTATACCACCTGACAGTCTTATGCTCACAGCTGTAATATGATAACATTTGATCCTGATGATCAACTCCGCCTATATTTTTATTATAATTTATCACTATATTTTGTTTTATTATTTCCGTGTTGCGACGTGTTGTAGTTGGCGTCATTTGTGCGTCGTATTCTGATGAAATTACAAGGACATCACGATTGTCTCGCCATTTCATTACGCAGATAACTTTTTTATTATATTGAGCATCATACTCACCTTTTTTAGCTTTTTGGTAACTACTTCTTTAGGGTTTTTTTTTTCGATTTTGCCTTAGGGTGCCCGTACAATAAGTTTTTTGTGACAAAAGGTTGTCTGCCAACTCAACAGAGTTAAAAAATTATCCATATACACAGAATAACCTTTGTTCACATAATCTTGTAATAAATTCAAAACGACTTTTGAAGAATGGTTAGTACCACCGACAGTCGTATCGCCTGCACCAGTATAAACTATTGTTTTTAGAATAATTCCGTGAACATCTGTCAGGAAATATATTTTTGTTTTATACTATATTTATTGTGTTCGTTTTTAATATATTGCCGAAATATAAGACGTCCTCTCCATAACACTAGTGACTCGTCAATACATAAATTATTAGATGGAAAATAAATTTCCTTCATCCGATTATTAAAATATGTAATGAGAAGCGAAATTTTTGCCAACTTATTGTCATCAATATTATTTAATGATTTCTTATATTTACGCGAACACTACACATTGATTAAAACTACTTTTACGGATTTTATCGCGTTTATTTTACTTTTAATTACTTTTAATCTCATTCCTACGTGTGTGAAGATATCCACTAAAAAAGACATTCGAGGAAGCGCTAAGATCTTAAATCAGGCTAGTAAAAAGTTGTTAATAACGGTGATTCAGCAAAAACGTACCGATCTATACTTCATAAACAAAACCATAGACAATTCGTCCAGTGAATTAAAGACAGTTTTATCGGCATTTGATTATAAAAATTGCATGGAAACTTTAGATAAACGCGGAACAACTAAATACAATGAATGCAAAAATAAACATATTGATAAATACCATAAATTAACAACTAAATCTAATATCCAACATACGAAGTCGTTGACAACAGAAACGAATCATAAACAACGCGCTGTCTACAACTTATCAAAACAAACACTGGACGACGCCACAGTAAAAGTTTTAGAAAAAGGTATGAATTTCGCAATAACACCGCGAAAAATACCGTATGAGGACATTATCTGTAGTGTTGAGGACTGTCTGTATAAAAATAACATTGGTAATGAAGATTTAGAGGCCATACGTCAAGACATTTCGTCTATGTTACGTCGGAGTTCAGCGCCGAAATTAAATCTTCCCAAAAATGAATTTAACGCGTTGAAAAACTTACGCAATGAGCTTGCGATTCTCCGCACAGATAAAGGCAATGCTACGATTATAATGGATACGTCAGATTACAATTTTAAAATACAACAATTTTTGTCGGATGAAACTACATACCGAAAGGTCAAAACAGACCCTACAACTAATACGCTTAAAATAACTAGCGATCTAATTAAGAAATACTCCGAGAAATTGAATCTGGACGTTAATTCGATAATACCTTTATGTGTCAAACCACCGAAGTCATGGATACAGATTATAATTCTAAAATACAAGAACTTTTGTCGGATGTAAGTACTTATAAAAAGGTTAAAAACGACTCAACAAATAGCACACTAAAAACAACTAGTGACCTCATAAAGAAACACTCCGAAAAATTAAATCTGGACGTAAAATGCATAATACCTACTTGCGCCAAATCACCAAAGTTGTATGGGTTACCAAAAATACACAAGCCCAATGCTCCATTACACCCCATAGTGAGCCAAATCGATTCACGAACTTACAGATTGGCTCAACACTTAGCGAAAATACTCTCACCGCTCAGGGGACAAACAGGAGCACACATAAAGGATTCCTACCATTTTGTCAGCGAGATTAAAGACCTACGTCTGGCAGACAATGAAACTATGGTCAGTTTTGATGTGCAGTCATTGTTTACATGCTTACCTGTTGAAGACTGCATCTCAATTGTAACTAGAAGGCTGGAAGAAAACAACATGCCCGTAGAATATGCAGTATTACTCAGACACTGCCTTACATCTGGCTACCTATTGTGGAAGGAGGAGTTCTACAAGCAAGTAGATGGTGTGGCGATGGGCTCACCTGTATCTCCCATTGTCGCCGACATATTCATGGAAGACTTTGAGGAGAAAGCCCTGCTTACTTCTCCCATAAATCCAAGATTCTACAAGCGGTACGTAGACGACACTTTCACAATTCTACCTTTAGATAAAGTAACTGCATTTTTAGACCATCTTAACTCTATAAATTCTAAAATTCAGTTCACAATGGAGTTAGAGGCAAACAATTCCTTAGCTTTTCTAGATGTGTTAGTAATTCGGAATCCTGATAACACCTTGAGCCATACTGTGTATAGAAAAAAGACCCATACAGATAGATATTTAAACGGTGATTCTCACCACCATCCTTCACAGTTAGCTACCGTGGGTAAATCTTTGTTTCAGAGAGCACGAGGGATCTGTGACAGTAAACACCTGGCTGCCGAGCTCCAACATGTCAAGCAAGTTTTGCATGACAACAAGCTTCGGGTCCCGCGCCTACGTCACAGAGAACGAGTGAAGCCGGCCACAGTCGAGCGTGTACCTGCTGTACTGCCATATGTTAGAGGAGTCACTGACAAGATTGGCTACATCTTGAAGCGCGCTTCCATCAAAACATACTTCAAGCCGCCGAAGAAGATTGGTCAGTTTTTACCATCAGTCAAGTATAACGTCCCTCTGCAAGATGCAGGAGTGTACAAGCTTGATTGTGAATGTGGTCTCTCCTACATAGGACATGTGAAGAATCGACGCTCCGGGAAGTCTGCAGTCTGTGAACATGTACAGGATCGCCCCCGTCACTACATCAGATTTGATAGACCACAAATCCTCGCTAAAGAACACCGATTCCTTCCAAGGATGATTCGCGAGGTTATTGAAATCAAAAAACATCCTAATTTCAATAGAGAAGATGGCTGGGTGCTACCATCTCCTTGGGATCCTATAATAAATAAAATTAAATCCCAACCCAAGCATACAACTGCAAGACTCCATGATACCATAAGTTCATACTGTGTAGATCGGAACAAAAGTTAAATTTTAATCTATGGTAACCGCGGTTAACTATGACAGCTGGACGTTGAACATCTCAGTCCTTCCCGT